GATGTGTCTCCCAGTGATTGTGTGTGTGTGTTCACCAACCATACCTAGTCTGACCCATTCAACCTGTAGTGCTCTGCTAGTGGTGTCTTAAATGAAGCAAGTAGTTTAGTAGCAAGAACTCAACTGTCTAAGCCTTCTAAGTATCAGCTGTGTAGCTTGAATATATCATGTGTCCCCTCTAAGACTCAGTTTCCTCCTCTTTAAAATGGGGGTAAAAATATCAGCCTCACAGGGTTGCTGAGATCCTTTAGAGTTTAGATAAAGGGTCTGGCACATAATTGATTGGTCTTCAGTACCCCCAGCTCCTTCACTTGCCAAGGCCCTAACCATGACCCCCTCCCCAGCTTCCACTCCAGCTCTCTCTCAATATTACCCCTCTTCTCTAGCCAGATAGTTCTGGTCCCTGCCCCACCTCTGTCCCTTCCCATTCATCATCCTCCATACCTGGGATGCAAGCAAGTTTCTTTCCCTCTTGTTAAATCCTACTTTTCCTTCAGGGCCTAATTCAAATCCCACTCATCCCCGATGTCCTGACACTCCAACAACAATCGTTGTTCCCCACTTTGTACTCCAACATTCACTGACTCTCCTGGACTTTTACAATACCGTTACTCACCTGGCACTGAAATGCATTTTAACTAGTCACCTGGATAATTTTTGTAGAAAAGTTGCAAGTAGCGAGAGGTCAGGACTATATTCCTTCACGCCTAACACACGACAACGCATGGGGGGACCAATAAGTATTTGTGAGTTAACAGAATATACATCATTGCTGTTATGTCACCAATGGCTACACACAGGATGTGAACACACTTCGTCTGGATTCTGACATGTGGCCACCCTCAAGTGATACCGGCCATTTATGCAGAGCAGCTAAGACGTTATCCTCTGATGTTAACATCAGATGAAGCTCTTTCCAAGATCATGCAAGGCCCTTCCTGGTGCCAACTCATTTCTGAACTTCCCCAATAGCCCTGGAATTCTAGCTCTCCCCATCGTTTATAATTTCCCAAATATGCCAAACACGTACACTTCCATGCCTTTATATGTGCTGTTCCCACTGTCTGAAATGACCTTCCTTTCCTCATTCTCCCTGTCCAAATACTGGCCCAACTCAAACATCATCTTCTTCGCAAAGATCTTTGCTGATCTCTTCTCTCCTAAACTTGACTTTCTTCTCTTCTAAGATTGCTCTGCCCCTCCTTTCCCATCCTCCCCAAAGCACCCTATTTGTTTGCATCTCTGTCTCCCTCACTGGGTTGCAAACAAAATCTGAGGCTAATTCCTCTGTGTTCTCCATTCCCTCGCTGGGCTGGGCTATAGTAGGCTTTTTTATTTTAATGACTCATCTTGTACAGCAACTCTAATACTTGATTGTGCTTCTATGATCATACGTCCATTTCCCCACTCCTGTAAGGGACTGCCTGTTTCTGAATGGTCTCAGTTCTTCCCATCCCTCTAAACTCTCTTAAGACTGCTGACCTCTGCCTGCTCCTGGACTCTACCTCCCCCTACTCTCCAAGGCAATCCTGTCCTTCAATCTAGGATTAACTTCCAACCATTAAAGCTGGGGTAGAGAAGACAGAGCCTGGGGGTGAGTGGGAGTCAGGCACCGTTAACGGGGGTAGGAGGTGGAGCTGGAAGTCAGACCAGGCCAGGTCCATTTGAAAGCACTCGCGTGGTCAGAGGCTCAGGCAATGGCTAACCAAGAGGGCAGCCCTCAGGCCCAGAGCACAGCTTCCCCTCTGAGCCCACAGAATAGGAAAGCCCCTCATCGCCCTCCCCCAGAGGCGCTCTGAGGCGGGACCCAGGGCTCCTGGATCTGCTCAGGAGGCAGACTTTGTTGGTTTAGTTCCGCTACAAGGCTCTGCTCCTGCCTGAGCTGTTCCAGCCTACGGATTCCTGGTACCCATCTGATTGAACAACTTAATTAAAGTGCAATAAAAGGAAAGTGGGCCAGATGTGCCCAGGGAGAGGGCAGGCATCTGAGTCCACTGCCTGCCTTCTGAGCCCTGTGCCCTTCCCATCCTGCCTAGAGGCTACTGGGCAGGCGGTGGCCAGGGAACTCTGAACTCCAGAGTTGGGTATGGAAGACGCTTAAAGGTTAACTGCTCTGTGAGTTTGTTCATACTGATGATAAGGAAAGTGAGGCCCAGGACAACAGAGCCCCCCAAGGCTGCTCAGTGAGACATTCACAGAAGCATGATAAATCTCGAGGACTTCCGGACCATCCAGTGCTTTTCTCATGAACCAGGTGGGAGAAAAAATTGTTTGAAAACACTAGACCCTTGTCCTTGGGGAGCACTCTCTTCTGGGCTCCAAACTTATTTGTTCTTTGTTAGTAACAGCTTTATGGAAATATAATTCACATACCCTTTGAAAGTGTACAATGTAATGGTTTTAATATATCCACAGAGTTGTGCAACCATTATGGCAATCAAGTTTAGAGTATTTCTTTACTCCCCAAAGAGATGCAGTACCCTTTAGCTACAGTCCCCCGATCTCCCCTTTCCTCCTACCCCTAAGGAACCACTAATCTACTCTTTGCCTCCATCTATTTGCCAATTCTGGACATTTCATATAAATGTCCTTGTGTGATTGGCTTCTTATATTTAGCATAATTTTTGACATTGATCCATATTCTACCAGTACTTTATTCCTTTTCATGGTCAAATAATATTCTATCACATGAAAAGGCCACATTTTGTGTATCCATCAGTTGATGGACACCAGGTTGTTTCTCCCTTTAGCTATTTTGCATAATGCCGCTATCAATATCTGTGCACAGTTTTTGTGTGTTATTTTCAATTCTCTTGAGTAAGTCCCTAGAAGAGAAACCTGTCGGTTCTTGCATCTCACGAACAATTTCAGTAACAATACCAGTGGAAATCCTAAAGCGTTACTGCGCACACTGCCTCGGAGAATACTGACAGGAAGCTGGATGGAGAGAGATGCAGAGAGGTTAATTATTCTGTCACACAGTCATAGGATAGGGCCAGAGAGGAGATATAGTTGAAACACATGACATTTAGCCAATGAAACTTGTATCATTTTAGGGGAAACGCCCCAGAACATTTTAAAAATCACACACATATTCACATGTGCCATCACTTTAATGATATGGATCAATTTTTAATGTGGTCAGGTCCTTTTCTGTCTATCTGCCTTATGTGTCCAAGTTCCCCATGGAGACCATCACACTCCCTCTCAGTGGAGTTCAGTTCTCCCACTTCCCAAATGTTCCACCTCATCCCCCCCCCCACGCAGAGCTGGTCCTGTAGGGAGTTTTGGGGCCTGGTGGGTGGAGGCTCTAACAGGCTCTTTGGTCACAGCTGCAGTTCTCAGAGCTCTGTGTGTGGGAAACACGGAGCCGCACTGTTCTCCATACTATCTGGGCACTCGGGCCTGCTCTGCGTCTGTCACCAGATATGTGCGTGGCTAAGAGACTGAAGTTGCTCTGGACACCTAGCTGGTTGAACTACATGAAATTGTCAACATTTATTAATTTCTGGATTTATTAATTTATTAATAAATGCAAACTCATGTGGTTCAAATTGCCGGTCTCTGCTCTCCCCCCTGGGTTCCTGCCAGAGGCCCAGGTCTTGTGCCCTGGAAGTCTTTTTGTCCCTCTATCCCAGCTGGTCTTCCTCTCCTAACTTCCTGGAGCGCCATTCTCCAATTACTCAATCTTGTGCCCAAAGGCCTGAACCAGGTATTGAGAGAGCACTGGGCTGGGAGTCAGGAGACCCCTCCTCTCCCTGCTGATCTCCCCAGAGGTTGCCCTGCTTGCAGACCTCCGCAGGCACCTGTGCTCGCCACCTCCGGGCCCTTCACCAGGAAGAATTTGTGTACCTTCACTCAGCTACTACCTGTGACTTTTCCTTCAAGACCACTCCCAGAAGTCTTCCCCGAGCCTCTGGACTGTGTTAGGAGCCCTCTCTGTTTGCATTTACTTGTGCTTCTGTCTCTCCTGGCACTCATCATTTATAGTTTAATCATCTGTGTGTCTGTCCCTGTCTGTCTCCCTCTCAAACCTGTGGGCTTCTGACAATTCTACCTAATTCATACTCCAGTCTCGGTTGTCAGGACAAGAAGCGTCAGGCAACTCTCATTTAACAGAACTAACCAGTGGTGACTGTGACTCAGTTTCCCCATTTGCTGGAAATGCCCAGAGGCTTGGGCAGAAGGGGGCGGGTTTTAAGGGCACTTTCAATTCTTACCTCCCAGGCCTCTCACAGGGATCCCCTGTGGGTCCAAAGAAACTGATGGGACAGGGTTGTTTAATTGAAAGTTCCAAGGAATTTTGAGGAAGCTTATTTTGCTATTTTAACTCAGTTAGTGTTTGCAGAGCACCCACTCAGTGCATGCCAGTGAGTCAGAAAAGTGGTGGAACACAAAGTTGTACAGACCAGCTTCCCTGATTCTTTCTGAATGCTGCCTTACCAGCCAGTCTGGGAGTGTCTGCCCATCCTGAGCCTCCCGCTGTTCACTCCCGCCAGGATCTGCGCTTTAGATGCCTCGGGAGAGGCCAGTCCTCAACCCATCCCTGTACCCAGGCGGCCTGCATCTCAGAGCCCACCGCGGACGGTGGAGCGGGGCCTCGGCCCGGGCGCCCTCTGGCGGCCGCGTACGGAAGCTACCGCCGGCGGGGAGCAGGCGAGGGAAAGGGGGAGGGATAGGGGAGGAGGAGGCGCGGGCAGGGGAGGAGAGGAAAAAGTTGCGCTGGGAAGTTTGGAAAGTTGGGAAGTGGCTGCTGCGGGCTTCGCCTCCCTCCGCGCGTGTGTGAGGGAGCGAGCGAGGGAGCAAGAGAAGAGCGAGCGAGCGCCTGCCATGCCCATCAGACCCCGCCTCGCCGCGCCGGGGCGCGGAGCACGCCCGGACTCCCTGCGGCCCGGCCCGGCCCGGCGCGGCCCCCCGCCCCCCGCGTCCCGCGCCGGGTCCTCCCCTCCCCCCGCCCCGGCGGCCCCAGCCCCCCGCCCGGCCCGGCTCCGCGCCGCTCTCCCGCCCTCCTCTCTCCCTCCCTCCCGGCCGCGGAGCAGCATGGCGGAGCCCGGGCAGCGGCCGCGCGGCCGTCCGCCGCCCCTCTGAGCCCGGCTCGGGGGCAGCTGGGCGCACAGATCAGACCCCCGCCCCCGCCGCGCTCGCCGCCGCACTTGTCCCACTGCGCGCCCCTGGAGCGCGGCGCACCCCTGGGACCTTGCGCACCCCAGGTCCCCAGCATAATCCCGGATCCCGCACGCCGGGACCCCAGTACCGCCCCGGGAGTCCCGCACGCTCTGGACCGCGACGCAGCTCGGGACTTCCGCGCGCCCTGGACCCCGCGCGCTCTTAGAACCCCGGGCTCGGCCGACGGGGCTGTGTGCCCTGGTGAGGGGCCCGGGCCCCGCCCCCGCCCCGGCGGGTACCCCTCTTCCAACTGACGGAGCCCCGCCCCCGAGGGACCCCCAGGTTCGGCAGGGACATCCAGCCACACCCCAGAGGGCTCCCAGCATCCCGCAACGAGCCCCGCGCTCCTGAGGAACCTTGGTGCCCAGCTGGGGGCTCCCCGCCCCGCAGAGGGGGCGCCGCCCGGGAGGGTCCCCGCGCCCCGCGGGTCCTGGCAGGATGCACGCCGCCCTGGCGGGGCCGCTGCTCGCCGCCCTCCTGGCCACCGCCCGCGCCCGCCCGCAACCCCTGGACGGAGGACAGTGTCGGCCGCCCGGATCGGTGAGCGAGCGCCTGCCCGGCCACTCTCCGGGCCTCCCGGGCACTGCAGCCCGTGGGGACGATGGTTTGGGGTCCTGCCTTCTGCACCCACCTCCGCCCACCCGCTCCACCTCCGCCCGCCAGGTGCTGCCTCGGGCGCCCTTCCCTAGCTTCTGCCGCCCCGGCTCCAGCTCCGCCGGGAGCCTGGATGGGCGCTCCTCCAGCTCACACTGACGCTCTTGGGCTCTCCTCAACTTTTAGTCCTGCTCGGATGGTTCCTCTGTGCCCCTTTCTTACCTCTATCCTGCCTTTGCCCTCCAGTTTTCTCCCTGCCTACTGTGACTCTGTTTCTACCATTCCTTTGCTTCAAACCCTTCTCTCTCATTCACACGCTGCCCCCTCCCAGCCTCCCTGGATCCCCTGCGCTCCACTCTGACCTAAGACACACTTTTTTCCCTAGTGCAGTTTTCCATGTTTCTCTCCCTTTCCAACCCAGACCCCAGCACCCACTCTTCCAAATGCCCTACTTGAGAGGACAGGAAAAGCAGTGCCAGGAAATAGATGCTGTCCTAATATTTCCTTGGGGTTGAGTAATTATTGGTTCTCCTAATTTTCCTTCCAAACCAAGGAATCTCATGATTTCCCACAGTATACCCCCTCAAAGTGTAAATTAATACGTTGAAAATAACCCTGAATTGGAGGCCAGGGGAGCAGGAGATGATCTTGTAGGGTCTTCACTGGCTTCCTTGTTAGAAAGGTAGTTGACCTTGGACAAGGTGCACCTCCATCGGCCTGACTCCTGCTGCAACCCGGAGCTCGGTGACCTGCAGGGCGCTCAGAGCCAGCCTGTATCTCCGGTATAGTAGCTGTTGGTTGTTAGTAAAGTAAGGTGCCATTTCCTCCACCCGCCCTGAAACATACTTTTCATTGTGCTAATATCAGGTAGAGAAATGCTGAGTTGACCTAAAGTTTGCAGGTGCCACGTGGACAGACAGTCCAGGGATTTCTCTGGTTGGAAAATTACTTGGCCTGTGAGAAATGACAATTGCTTTCTCATGCCCCTTAACCCCTGACCCTAAACTGGATCTGGAGAAATGACCCTTGTCTCCATGCCCCTCAGTGCTCACCCCTACACACACTCTTGTCAGAGCTTAGGTCATAGATGACAGAGAATAGGGTTGGAGACCAGGTGCACCTATTTAGGAGAGCAGCCGGCAAGCACCCGGACTGTGTACATTTCTTGGTACCGATTCTATGGCATCCTCCTCCCCCAGGCCAGGGCCTGAGACTTCACGTAGCCTGCAGCTTTTAAGGCACTTTCTCATCTGTGGTTTCAGCTGGTGGAGCAGAGTAGCTGACACCCAGATCTGCCCTCCAAAAAGAAAACTGTATCCACCCTGATGAATGGGAAGTCGCTGTTTAAATAGGTGTGCTATTTTTAATAGGTGTTCTGCTTTCAAAGTGCTCTTGGCAAGTATCTTCTAATGGTTGGATTTCAGTTATATGACTTCCTCCCTTCTTACCAGAGCGGTATTCTTACTCCCCCTCTCCCCACCCTCCCCATCAAACACACCACTGGTGAAGGTTTGGCTTGGCCCAAGCCTGAATATTCTCAGGTGGTGTGGCAGACCTGGGCACAAACAGTGAAAGCTAATCAGAATGAGAGCTTCCTTCATTGCCCCTTCCTCTGTGCCTGGCACTGCTCTTAGCGCTTATTTAGATATATTGTGTGCTTTTATTCTCCCATTGACCCCTGAGGTAGCTTATCTCACCCCTCCCCCCATTTACAGATGGGGAAACTGAGTCTGTGGAAGTGAAACAGTGTGCTCAAGATCATACAGCTCAGACAAAGCAAAGGATTTGTTTGTGGGCATTTCAGCTTCCAAAGCCCTTGCTCTTTCCCAGGGCCCCGTGTAGGTGTCTGCCTGCCATCCCCACCTCCTCCTGCCCCCTCGGTGTTAACCTTGGTTCACTCTGCTGCCACCAGCCTCACTGCCTTCCTTCCCCTCTCCTCCTGCAGCAAAGGGACCTCAACTCCTTTCTGTGGACTATTCGGCGTGACCCCCCGGCCTACCTGTTTGGCACCATCCACGTCCCCTACACCCGCGTCTGGGACTTCATCCCGGACAACTCCAAGGCAGCCTTCCAGGCCAGTGCCCGTGTCTACTTCGAGCTGGACCTGACGGACCCCTACACCATCACAGCGCTGGCCAGCTGCCAGCTGCTGCCCCACGGAGAGAACCTGCAGGACGTGCTGCCCCGCGAGCTCTACTGGCGCCTGAAGCGCCACCTGGACTACGTGAAGCTGATGATGCCCTCGTGGATGACGCCGGCGCAGAGGGGCAAGGGGCTGTACGCTGACTACCTGTTCAATGCCATCGCGGGCAACTGGGAGCGCAAGAGGCCCGTGTGGGTGATGCTGATGGTGAACTCGCTCACGGAGACCGACGTGCGTTCTCGGGGCGTGCCCGTGCTCGACCTCTACCTGGCCCAGCAGGCCGAGAAGATGAAGAAGAGCACAGGGGCCGTGGAGCGGGTGGAGGAGCAGTGCCATCCACTCAATGGGCTCAACTTCTCCCAGGTAAGCACGCGGCCCCTGGCCCCTGAGCTAGGCAACCCCTTTGCCCCTTGGTCTTCTTCTCTGATTGTCTTCGTTCTCCGGCAGCCAGGGCCTGCCATTCCCCCAGAGAGAGAGGGTCTTTTGGACTGTGGAGCGGCTCTCCAGCTGCTTTTGGGGTGATCTGAGGGAAAACTGGTATGTGCTGGATTTGGGGGTAAGAGTTCTGGTGTTGGCTTCCCTCTCGGTGGTGTTACCTGTCGGGGATATACACTCCCCACCTGCCGTGCTTGCCTGAGCAGAAAGAATTTCCCTGGGAGCATCAGAGTGATGAAAAACAAAAAGAGGGGGCTGAAAGTTTGCCTTCGAGGCCCAGATCTCAGGATCAAGAGGCTGTCCTGAGGCTGCTGTGTGGGCACATCCAGGCAGCAGCGAGTCAACAGGGGACTTGAGAGGGAGTCCTGGTGCCTGGGCCTGGGGGCAGGGCAGGTGTGGTGAGTGGACCTGGGGTCTATGGCTTGCTGTTGATGTGAAGCACTGTCGTTTCCCGGACCTTTGCAAAGCTCGGCCCTCGGACTGCCTCCCTAGGCTGGGAGAAAGCCAGCCAGGATAGTTTTGGGGTTAATAATTTCAGAGAAATGTGTTCACTTAAAGGTTGACAGTTCTGATTTCTGAACCTAGGAGTGGAGGCAGGGAGAAGGGGCGAGCCTAGGAGGTTTAAAGTCTCGGGCTGCCAGAGACCTGATCCAGCAAAATGTCATTAAAAGCCCTGTTTCCATGGGCAGAGGTCACTCGCCGCTCACTGGCCCCAAACTCAACTCGGAGGCCCTGGGAACAATGGGTTCACATCTGTGCCTTGAGAACAGGCTGTCTCTCTGGGGTGGGGGCTCGCATCAGGGCTGGTGGCTTCTGCACAGAGGCCCCCAAATGGGGCTTGGGCCGATGCCCCAGTGAGGAGTGAGGCGTGGGCCCGGGAGACGTGCTCCTCTGTGCCGGACACGGCCCCATAAATTGGCCAGGCTAGCAACGACCACTGGGACCAGAGCTGCTTGCTGCTCCTGAGATGTTGCAAGCTCTTCACCAGGGAAACAGCAGCAGAAACTGATCCCCCTTCAGAGATCTCTGGCCTTTGTTTTTCCAGGGGAAATGCAATATTGTCCCCAGGGAGGTAAGAAGCCAGATTGATTTGCCGGCCAAATGAAAGGCGGGTTTGTCGGTCCTCCTGCTGGCTCTCCCATAATTGTGGAGTCCTTACCCAGAGGGCCCTGGTGGCAGGAATATTGGGGCAGTTAGTCACGCCCCGCAGGGTTCTGACTACGCCTGACTCCTTCTCCACGGGGGAAAATCCTGTGCATTCTCTGGCCCCGCGCTGATTCCTCTGAACATACCGGCTTTCTCCCTCTGAAGTGACTTTCCCCTGCCAGCCTCGGGAGCTGATATTATCTGTGTCGGGCTCCCCAGCGCTCACCGCCCATCTCATTTTGGAGGAGGCAGGCTTGTGGGAGGCCCCTCTGTTCGGAGGCCTCATGTCTGGCCTCGATATCTTTTTTAGGCTGGGGAGGTGGGGGATCCACCATCATCTCAACACCCTCTTTGTACCAACCACAGAGGAATCCACGAGAGCTGAAGGGAGCACACCAGCCCCCTGGTTAAACAGCCCCTGGCTTTAATCTGTCTCCCTTAAAACAACAACATTATCTTTCTTCGGGGTCTGGAAACACTGCTGTTGGTAGGTTGCAAACATTTGCTGGAAAGCGTGTGAGGTTATGTTTTAGGAAAAGTTCCTGAGAGACATTCATCGGCCAGTGCGGAGCCCGCTGACAGTCTCCAAAGCCCATGTTTGAAGATCAAACGGACTCAAATCTCTGGTTTCACAAATGTGCCCACCCCGTCTCTAGCCTGGGCCCGCTCTTAGCGCTGTTCTTGGGTCCAGCTCGTCCAGAGGGCTGCAGGAAGCAAGTCCCAAACAAAAGGAAACAGGTCTCCTCTTGGTTCCCTAATCTCCACACCCTTCACCACCTGCCAGAGTGTCCGGCCCCGCCAATTTGTCCTGTTATCATTTTAGAGTGAGGTGATGAAATCTCTCCTCCATCCCCATGAGCGGCGGTGGGCTAACTGGGAAGGGAGGGATTCCAGAGTTTGGGTGGATGGGGTTGTTAGGGATCCCCCACCCCAACGTCAGAAATGCAACAGCCTTCTCAGTAAAATTGTATGCGCGTGTGCACAGTTTGATATGAACATCTGTGATGCATTATTGTACCAAAATATCTGTTAAGTGCATCAGATTTTTATTTTTTCTTTCCTTTCAGCATTACTGTTATTGCAAAATATTTTTTTGGTAGGGGGAGCAATGAGAGAGGAAGGCGGGAAATAGAAGCCTTAAAAGAGAGTACCTTTTTATTAAGACCTGGGATTTTAGTTTTAATTTGAGTATTTTTCAATTTTTTATATTTTCTTCTGGGTCGAAATAACACATTTTTTTTTTTTCTGGCTTAGTCAAGAAAGGAAGCTTACGTTTTGGAGCTCCCTGGGTTGGGGAACCACTGAAAAAGTTCCTTCTATCTTTGCACAGCTTGGAAGATTGGGCTCATTGGTCCTCGTCTGTGATTTTAATATAAACGGAGTGTGCGAGCCCCAACATCACCTTGAGTTTGCTGTGTGACCTTGGGCAAGTCAGTTCCCCTCTCTGGGCCTTGTTTTTCCCTTCTGTGAAATGAGACACCAGGATTAGGTCATCATCCAAGTCCCTTCTAGCCCTGACATTCCATGGGACGGTTGTAATCAATTCCACGTGCCTGGCACTCTGCAGGAAGCTCCGTGTGCTTTTCCATTTTGTTGGATTCTCACAGCCCCGGGGTTTTCTAAGGTGGGCAGTCAGAAAGGTTGGGTGACTTGCCCAAGGTCACATGGCTAATAAGGAACAGAACCAGTCTGCCTGGCTCTGAATGAAGGATGCACTCTTCCTGCCGCCCATGTAACTAGGTATTTTGTGTCCTCTTGTAATCCTTCCTTCAGTCCTTTCTTCCATTTCTTTCTCCCTTTTAGGACTCGAGGACTTAAAAGTTTATTGCGTAGAAAATGTATACCTATGGAGAAATGATTTCGTTTGGCCATGGGGCCGAGGCAGGGATGGTGAAGGCAGCTCCTGTAAAGATTTCCCTGATGGGTTACAGACAGCTCGGCCTCCTGGGCTGAAAGGAGATTTGCCTCTAGATTTCAGTCCCAGCTCTGGCTTGAAAGCCAGTGATTTGTGTATAACTGGTTTTCCCGTCTGTCCAATGGGGCAGTTAGTGACCAGTCTTTCTCAGCAGAGCTGGTTTGGGGAGGACGTGAGAAGACTCTACATGTGGGAGGTTGCTGAGAGGGTAAAATGACTACCTAGAGGAAAGAGTCTGAGTCGGCTCCGGAACTAAGAAAGAGGAGGGAAGCCTCGTCTCTGCCCTGTTAGCACCTTCTCCTAGCAGCCGTGTCCACTGCCCATCCTTTGTTGAATAGAGTAAAGCTGGAGTAATAAGGAGTGGGGGCGGCCCCTGCCCTCAGGGGCCTGTGAGTACCTGAGCCTTTAGTCCACATCTTGTGACAGTCTTGGGACCTGCAGATTTCATTCAGCTCCGTCAGCTGCCTCCAGGGACTGGTACCGGCTGCCACTCACTTGCTGGTCTGATTAGGAGACCTCCTTCTCCCTCTAGGGGGCCTCAGTCCCCCCCACCAGTTGGTGAGGAGCTGCATGAGAGGCCCTCGAAGTCATGTGGTTCTCTGAGGCATAATGAGAAAACGAGGACCCTGCCATTCTCTACTTTGTTTTAACAAACATGCAATGTCACCCATCCAGGGTGTGCAAAGCCTAAACACTTGGGCCTGGCTGCTAAGGTTATCCAAGATGTATGTAAAATCCCACAGCCCCTTCACTAGGGAGTTAGAAACCATAAAATCATCATTTATTGAGCTCTGTCTCTGTACAGGGCACTACCTTAGACCTTGTAAGTACATCATCTCTAAACCTCACAGAGATGTGACAAGACGTATCATCATCTCTCTTTCTCAGACAATAAATTGAAGCTTAAAAAGGTTAAGTCATTTGGCTATGATTACACAACCAGGCCAGGCGGGCTCAGGGTCCAAACTTGGGCGTGTCTGATGCCAGAGTCCATGCTTCTTAGGCATGTGAGAGCTGACGTGATTTTTGTTTTTAATAGTTAGAAGGCATTATCTCGGTGTGTGTTTGAGTGGTGAGAGATGATCATATCTTGCTAAAAAATATTTTAAAAATAGAGATAATTAAAAAGTGCTCACACTGATTTTCTACTGGCTTACAAATCGGATCTATAGGTGATTCTAAAATCAGAGTTCTCAAAGACACCCCCAGCTTTCCAAGGGACCACTGTGAGAACGGCACCCCTAAGCAGGCACAGTTAAATAAGGGAGAGTCTCCTTGGTTTCTAGTCAGAGCTCCTCTATCTACACCCTGCAGGGCCAACACTATTATTAGGTGCTCTATTAGTATTCAGAGAATGAATGAATGGTCAGAAACCATGATATGACTATCTCTGCTTCCCCTCCTTCTACCATGCAGCACTGTTGAATGGATGGATGGATGAATGAAGAGACTGCATATGTGAGGAGCCCCCTCCTTGAACTTTAATAGCTCCATGTCTTCCTACAAGGACACAAAATATGAAAATCACCAAGTGGGTTGTTCAGATACAAAGCAGGCTCCAGCCCTGACCCCATTCCTACCTTCCCTGTGAGTCTGGGCTAGTCCTTTTCCCTTTCTGGGCCTAGATTGTCTTCTCTGTCCCACGAGAGTGTGGGCTGTATGATTTCCAGGGCTGGCCCAGCTCTGATTTCTGCGGTGCTCATCTTTGGCCCCATATCTTGGAGACCCTGAGCCACCCTGAGATGTTGACCCTGTGTTCTCCATAGCTGGGAGGGACGGGCAGTCTCTGGCGGGCTGCTGCTGATACCTGCTTGTCCGGAAGCTTGCTGGTTCTGGTGGGTGATCCTGCTGTCTCCCGCTGCAGTTT